AAAAATTCAACGCTATCTATCACGAATGAAAAAAATTGTTTCAATAAAAATTTCACGTACAATCTAATTCTGCAATGAAAAATGTGGGACCTCATTTGAAATTTGAACGTTACCACCCACCCTACCCCGAGAGGATGGGGGGAATAACTTTTATTATGTTCTTTAAAAATATTGAACAGGTATTTTTTATTTCTCAATCCAATGATCATTTCTGGAGAATTGCGGAAAATATAATTTTTTGCGATTACAGCGCCATCTATCACGAATCAAAAAAAAAGTTTCAGACAAAATTTACGTATTTTGTAGCGTAGAATCCGTATCTGCAATAAAAATGGGGGTTTCCATTTAAGATTTCAAAGTTGCTCCCAACCCCCATCCCCAAGGGGTGGGGTGGGAGGTCGAGTTTGATATCATTGGATGTCCCCCTTCGAGACTAACAACTTTCATTAATCACTTTTTTTTATCCAATGCATAGTTCTCAAGATATTTCAATGTCTTCAGATAAATCGTGCACCCTGTATACAATTTCAAAGATTTTGTAGAAAATATTACAAGAAATTTTTATATATTTTCTGTAAAAATTCCCTGAAAACGATTTTAATTGCAATACACTTTCAAAGAAAAGTTCTTGTTAACAAACAATGTGATTTTTCAACGACTTTTTTTCTAGCAGAATATAAAAATAAAAATGTTTCCATGAGCACGAGCAAAATATGCTGGTGAATAAGTTTTTGTTCACATGCTACGTATATCTATATTTATATAAATTATATATTATTATGTTGTTTTAATACTAAATATTTATTTCCAATGCAAATGTATTAAATTCAGTAGAGTAGAAAAGATATGTTCAGATGTAATAAAAGAAAATGTCTTACTGTTAACAAAATATAATAAGAAAATTGTATTAATATTTTTAATATATGCAATTAAATATGTAAACTAAATATTTACATGCGCTGATATGATGCGAATAATAAAAACGTGTGAGATGTGTGCCATGCACATAGCACTAAAATCTCTAATGTTTTCGTCGTTCATAATCAGTATGTAATTGCTTTTAATTTACATATTTAATTGCGTGTATTAAAAATATTACTTTATTATATTTTTTTAACAGGACGACATTTTCTTCTATTACATTCAAAACAATTTTTTTTCTTTCTATTAAATTTAATATTTGCACTGGAAACATTATATGTAAGACTAAAACACACGTCATAATAATATGTAATTATAAATATGTGGGGCTATATGTGACTATTAATATAAAAGTATACTCAATATAGATTAGGTTATAGGTTATGTGTGTATGTTATTAGTTAATATAAACCTAATATTTACCTCCAAGTGACAAAATATGTACAATATGGGATTTCCACGAGCAATTTCGTATTCTTCTTTGCATTTTCGATGCTGGAACAATTTCGCAATTTACAGGCCAATTAATCGCAACTTCTTCTTTCCTATCAATAACTTTTTGTATTTCTTTATTTGTTTGTAACGTTTCATTTTGAAGCCACGACAAGTAGCCTACTGCAACTTTATAATCTTCGTTGATGAATTCTACTAATACGCACTCGATATCTTTCATTTTTCGCGATTATAAAAATTGAGAGACACAATATTAGATATTAGTCACATTGCACATACTGTCGGGCCATCCGCAGTGATGCCAGTTTCGAGTCCTAACCAGCACAGCTATAGTGCGTGCAGCGGCGCGCACACAAGCGAACTACCGTGTACGTGCGCCTGCCCGTCACGAACTATAGGCTATAGTTCGTAGCAAAATATTTTTTTAATTAAAAAATAAAATGTGGTTACACATACTATTATATACATTATACTACACTATTATGTACACTATACATTATATTATATTAAATTTAATAAATTTTTCAAACACTATAGAAATAATTTATTTACAGCTGCATTGCAGTAAAAGTATATTATATATATGTTAAGACTTGCTATTAAATTTCATAGATTACTGGGGATATATTACGTTTTATTCATTACACATATGTAGTAGTGTGTATTACACATTTTGTAGATTATACGTATAGTCTATTACACAAGTCATTCACCACACGTGTAGTCTATTACACAAGTCACTTACCACACGCATAGTATATTATATATGTAGTGGATTGCATGTGTAGTATATTACACACTTCAGCGTGTAATAACTACAGATTATTGTGATTCTTTCTGTGGAAATTACTGGGAGTTCTGTAATAATTGTAATATTTACAGGCTGTAGTTTCTTTCCGTAAGGGGTATTTACAAAAGAAAAAGGAAAATGTTGGGACGAAATTTGTAAACAGTTTAATAGTGAATCAAGTACATATCGTGATGTAGTAACATTAAAAAATTGTTGAGAAAATTTAAAAAAGAAGACTAGAAGATATGCAAAAAAAGAAGCAAATTATATCAAACAGGTAAAATTATTGGTAAACTTTTATATTGGGGAATCCACCATAACCTTGACCTTGATTTATATTATAAAAGTCATTCTTCTGAGTAACGTTCAGAAGATTTTAGACGACGGTCATTGTTTATTAAAAAGTTATTAACAAAAGAATCTAACTTCCTTGTATTTTGCTGCTACTATGCCAACCTTTTTTATTATTTTATTTATTTGTTTTTTTTTAACAAAATAAGAAGATTTGAGATAATCACATCAAAGCACAAGGAAGTTAGGACAAAAAAGCTTTGCTGTTAATTGTACGAATGATAAGAAAATTGACTGAAACCAATCACTAAGAAACTAATTCCTTTGTATTTTACAGCAACTATTCCAAACCTAACAAACTTTGTAAATGTTATTCAGAAAGATATTTATATATAAAATTTATATATAACACAAACTATATGTTTTTCTTTTAAATGCACACAATATTTCTGAAAACTGTATATTAATTATTAAACTTTTTTGTTAATAACTTTTTAATAAACACTGACTGACAGCTAACACCTTTTGAATATTCTTAGAAAAATGAGTTTTATAATATATGTCAAGATCAAAGTCATAGAAGATGAATTTGATGTAAGAATTTATCAAATTATTATTAATATGTAATTATTATAATTAATACACAAATATTCTTTTTTTCGACATTTATAATAATAACTCGCAAGATTTATATTATTTATGTTCATAGGAGGTGGGCCATGTGAAGCTGAAAACGATCCTATTATGGAGAAAATATATTACATAATTAAACCATCAGTCGATGGTTTCAATAATGAGTTTGATAATGATAATATTGGTAAGTTTGAAGATAATAAAATTAATAATAAAACCATTATATATATATATATATATTATATATATTATATATATAGTTATAATATAGCATAATACGTATTTAAACTCTCTTCTAGTTCTGAAAGGTTTAGAATTAGGAAATAACATAAATGTGTATATGTTATTAGGAAATGTATGTTATTGTATACAAAAAGTTCTTCAGATATTTGAAAAATTAATATTCTAATGTAAGGCAAAAAATACATTATGATTATGAAATATAAAGTTGAATTGATTTAACGATTTATATCTTTTGTATCTGTTTTAGAAAGTAATGAATATTTGCATATTCAAAATAACAATAACTCAGATTGCAACAGTAATGTACTTATGGGAACATTATTTGAAGAAGCACAAATTTTATCTGATGAAGAAGATAATAATATTCTGAAAGTTTGTAATATTATGAAAGTTTATAACTTAAATTTTTAATATCAATGATACATATATATTAAAATTAACTTTGTTTCACTAGTATATTAATACAATGCAAGATGCATTAAGCTCATTTTCTATGGCAGCAAATGACAGTAATAAATGCGTCGATACTGGAAGAAATGTATTTAACAAAGAAATACCAATAAAAGAAAATATTGCAAGAAATATTCATCACAAATCACAAGTATGTTAAAATAATTATTTATAATATATTATAATATATATTAATACGTTTATAATACCTTATTTATAATACATAATATGTTTATAATACATTATGCTTTTACATTGAAAATTGATTTTTTATACTCAAGCAACTTGATTTTTATTTTCCAGTTTAAAAATATGCATAATTTTAACAAAAATAATGTACGTGAAGAAAACAACAAGGTACGTTCGAAATGTATTATAGCAAAAACAAATGAATAAATATTTACTATTATGCCATACAGAATATTATGTACAAATTTTATAAAATAATTATTCATTCTGTAAGCAAAGTTTTAAAATATTTTTCTTAAAATTTATTATTTTTTAATATTTATTATAATATTATTTTATAGTTACAAGATATTACAAATCATAACACATTCTCAAGAAGGAATGAAATTAGTCCTTGCAATAGCTATATGACCACTGAAAAAGAGATAACATATTATTTATAATATTACTAATATTACATGTTTAGTATTGTTATTTGCTGCATGTTCATATATTTATATTATTATTGTTGTTATTTTCACAAAAGCAGTGTTTGATGATGTCGATATATTATATATATTCTTATTTTTAACAATATTACAGATCACAAATTCAATCCAAGCGAATAAAACTGCTTTAATTACTGAAGAAAAACATAGGTCAGTCACATGAAACGCATAAAAAAAGTGTGCCATTAGTAGATGATCACGTACGATCATTTCATAAAAAACGGATTGATTCTATATCGCACAAAGTATTGAAAACGTCGACATTACTAAATTCAAAAAAAAGCTAGTTAAGCTGATGAAAACAGAATCTGAAAAGAAGCATGATATAGAAATGCAAATATTAAATATGCAATTGCGAAAAGAAAAATTGCACATGCAATTGATAGAAAATGAAATTGCAATAAAGGATTGTCTTTTAAAGCGATTAGAAAATGCTGAACTATTAGAGAATACTGAATATTTAAATATGTGACATGCTTTAAAAAAGGAACCTGAATTTTCTTATTACATATTTGTTACGGTATTTTTTCTTATTACATATTTGTTACAATAACGCGCAACGTACATATCCTAATAACTAAATCTGTCCGAAACAGATTTTGCCAGACGCCTGCTGCAGGAGTTGATGACAAACTGATGTCAAAATTAATACAAATTCTGCAATATCAGATGATGTTGGCAGAATGCCAGCAACATTGAAACAAAATTTGATACAGAAGTTTGATATCAGATTGACGTCAACATTTGAATAGATTCTGTTAAGCAGCCTGACGGCAGATTGACGGCAGAAAGGAAACAGATCCTGCCTTGCGTAGTCTGACGGCAGATTGGCGGCAGAATTCAAACAAACGCGGTTTAATACTATGACGGCAGATTGGCGGCAGAAACGTAACAGATCCTGACGTACGCAGTCTGGCGGCAGATTGACGACAGAAATACAACAGATTCTGCAGTGCGCAGTCTGGCACCAGAATGACGGCAGAAATGTAACAGATCTTGTTGTTCACAGCCTGACAGCAGACTGGTGACAGAAATACAACAGATTCTGTCATATTCATTTTTATATCCCCCCTCCCCCCTTCCCATTCAGTCATGCACATTACGTGAAAGTAATTATTAAAAAATAATACAATATACGAACGTAATTGTTTTTATTTATCACACAAGACAAAACGAGACAGCCAATCAGATTCACAATGGTGTTTACCATAAATGGCGGAACACGAAGGCGACGATGTTTCTTCTCATAGCCTCAGGAAGTGACGACACACGGTGACTTCGAGACGATGTTGGAGTAACTGATAAAAGGGTTTGTGAACAGTGAAGTGGCAATTTGCTGCGATATCTGTAAATTGAAATTATATTACAGTTACATCTTTCTAATTACAGTTATGTATAATATATGTTTAAGTAAATACATGAATTAAAAGTTACATTGTATTAATGTCACAATTTCCCACAGTAAATACAATACACGTGTCGTATTCAAAGTGGCATAGCAAATTGTAGCATCGATTGTAACTCTTAATAATTGCTGAGATGAGACGGGAAAATCAAAGAGATCTGGATAAAAATATTTACCTGTGTCTCTTGTGTTTTTCGGTAATAGATTCGTCGATCCTCCGTGACATCCGATCCTCCCGTGATGACCTAAACATATAAAATGTCCGGAAGACACCGTAAAGTCGACACAGAGTATCAATTGTCTATGCCCAGAAGTCGAAATTATTTGCCCGTTTCAACCGATTTTTGGGAGCTACGCCTATTTCTCTTATGTCTCTGCTCGTCCAAAGATCCCTTCAAGGGAGGACGGTCACGCCGCCCAGGTATAAGCTGTCATGTATCATTTGTAGGGATCTTCGGAAAGAAAAGAGAAGAGAAGTAGGCGCAGCCTTAAAAAATCGGCTAAATCGGGCAAGTAATGCGGGAAGCACACATTTTTGCATAAAGGTATAATGCATAACACATAAGGAAATGAACCAATCAGAGTCTTTCATTTCTATTGCCACGCTTGAAGATCGCTTTCCGAATTTCCGAAAAGGCCACACGGCTAATGAAAGTAGACATCATAAAGAAAATTTTCAACCCCGGAAAAAATTTTTTGGTTGAAACCAAATTTGGCGAGCAAGGGTAGTCGGTTTCGCAAAGAATGCCCCATATATATTTTATATATATATTATATATAAATAATTAATTACAATGTATAATTAAAAGAATGACATCATTAAAAGAAGTATTAATTAAAGAACTATTATAATAGATTTCCACATCACCCATGAGGTACTATTATTGATGCGTTTTTTTTTAAGTGGTTTCCCCAGTAGGCCTATTCCACTAAATAATGAAGACAAAATACGATAAAATGTATGGCTCGGCAGGAAAACTAGGTGAAAAGAGGTAAACGATCATATTTAGGAAGAAATAAACTAGCATGTCTTGGGTCGTTTAGACTCTACTATAGATAATATATTCACAGACATTTTAGAAGAACTAGCTCGCATCAACGAAGAAAGTGATGTATCATTTAGAGAAGAACGTTTATCCGTTTTTGTCAATTTCATTCTTGAGAAGGAGCATTCGCATAAATATGTGGACCCAAACATAGAAAAAATTCGGAGACCAAAATCTCTAAGACGTGGATAAGATGAAGAATCTAAAATTTTGAAAAACTCGGTCTCCTTTTCTAATCGGGATTTCAAAGAAATATCGCATTGTAAATTGCACAATTCTTCCTGAAGAAATAGGCTTTGTTCCTCGATTTGCGCGGTAAGAGGATTGCTAAAGAGGATTAAATCTTGTCTTAAACTTTCAAAGTCAGAAAAACGCCTATCAAATTGATCAATTAAAAATTGAATAATATTCAGTTGCTTTGGAAAATTACAATTTGTACCGTGTTCTTCAAAGAGAATTTGGCAAGAAGGGAAAAAGTGAAGAACATTACCTTGCAACTGATTTTTAAGAAACAGCAATTTTCTGCGGAAAGCATCGATACAACTAACTAATTGCGTAATTGTTTGATTGGACTTTTGCAGCTTTAAATTTAGAATATTTAAATGATTTGTTAAATCAGTTATTAAAGCAAGCTCACTAAGCGAGTCTAAATCTTCGAAAAAAAATCGAAATTCGTCCAATTTTATGGGATATTCGTCTTGCAAAAAAAGGAATATCTCCTTTCTTATTGCGAAGAATTTTTCAAGACATTTTCCTGTACTGAGCTATCGCACTTCACAATATAAAGGAACATCTATATAGCTTGCGTTATGCTCTTCGAGAAAGTGTTGGAATTTACGATGAGAAAGAAATTTTTGACCACCTTTAATTAAATTAATAATTTTTGTGACCGTTTTCATGGCGCTACTAAGTTTAATATATTTCCCACATAACGCTTCTTGATGAATTATACAATGAATAACAGGAAATTTGAGATTTCGCTGCTTCAAATGTCCGAAGAACCCGTTTTTTAAACTTATCATTTTTGCGCCATCGGTGACTACAGCCGAACATTTGGAGAAATCGATGTCAAACTTTTGTAGACATTGGCTAACAGCCTTGAAGATCTCTGCACCTGTTGTCCTACTATGCAATGATACAAAATCTAAAAGCTTCTCGACATATGAAAAATCGTTTTGTACGATTCGAGCAAAAATACTCAGTTGACTCACATGTCGATTATCGGTGCTTTCATCGAGACATAAAGAATAATAAGAACAAGACGCTAATAAAAATTTTAATCTCTCCTCTAAAAATAGCGCAATATCATTAATCCGTGATTTCACGATTTTACGATTTAAAGGAATGCTTGCAGCTTCTTCTAAAGTTATCGAATCTCCAGATTCGACTGCTGCGATGAGGCATTCCTTTACAAATTCCCCTTCACTAAATGGATTTTTTTACGATGAGATGTGATATTGCATATGACGCGGTAAGGGCTTTCGTAGAAGATGGAATATTCTCGACATTTAAATCGCGACCTTCTTTATAAACTAATTTTAATGCCTCAATTATATTTTGTTTCTCCTCGTCCACATATTTTGAATACTCCTGAGAATGTTGAATATTATAATGTCTATAAAGGGAATATTTTTTAATAATCGATTGTTGAAAACCACACAAAAGATAGATGACTCTATCGGAAATATAAGCGAAGAAAATTTTCTCCCATACCTTATCAAAAGTTTGCTCGAACTTTTGATTCCTATCCATTATTCCTATCCTATCCAGAGAAATCCAGAAGACTACACCAAAGCAGAGACACAAAATCACAGTAAAACTTGAGATAAAATTGCCAAACTGTCTGCATTCTTGCAAGAGACCTTTAATGAGCAGACTCTCGTACAGATTGTGGAAACAGACAGACTGTAAAATAACTGCATATCGGTCAGCAACAGAGGTCTGTCCAAACAATTGAACATGTTAAAGGTCTAGTGCGTGTTTGTAGAGAGAGTGTATAAGTAGTTAGAATATTCAAACTATGTGGATGAGGAGAGACGTAATATATTTGAAGGATTAAAATTGGTTCATGAAGAAAGTCGTAATATGAATGTCGAGAATTTTCAATGTTCAACCCTCAATGAAAGCCCTTATCGCATCATATGCGATATCAAATTTCATTGCAAAAAATTCCAAGTTCTTTAACAAAGGAAAATTTGCAAAAGAAGAAATGGCTCATTGCAGCGGTCAAATCGTTTGGAGATTCGATGACTTTAGAAGCTGCAAGCATTCCATTAAATCTGTAAAATTTGTAAAATGGATAGATGATTCACGGATTCATCTTTAGAAAAGAAATTAAAATATTCATTAGCGTCTTATTCGTATTATTCATTCTATATTGATGAGAGCACCGATATCGGCATGTGAGTCAACTATGTATCCCACACAGAACAAGAACCTCTAATGGACATTCCATAAGACATCTATCATGGATATTCATAACCTCTATAATACATCCATGAAACTATATATGGACGTTTAATAGACATCCACAGTTCCGCATTTCAAACTTCCATTCAACCTCTAGTAGACGTTTTTACAGACGTGTCTCAGACGTAATATAGATCAATTATAGATATTTCATGGAATTTAAATAGATGGTTAATAGACTATATAAATTTATTATATACCAAAACCAGACAAATTTACAAAAACCGGAAAGTAATTACCGACATACCTGGTACATTTAAATTTAAAATTGTCTTAATATTAAAAAGTTGATTAAAATACACATTAAATATTGTAAAAAGATTTTTATTTTTTATAAAACATAAGAATTACAACATAAAACAAATAAAAGCGATATAAATTGTTGTAAAAAGGTAAGATTAGGCTGGTGTGAAGATGGTGATGAACCGTAATAGATATCCAGGAAGCGTTGATATAGAAAGCAGCATAGGAGGCGGCAGAGAACCGTGACAAGAACTCCGGAAACGCTGATATAGAAGGCGATGGGAGGCCGCAAAGGATAGTAGTCTAGAAAAATAAAATTGTTTTATTTAAAACAACTTAAAAGAACAGAATAGATAAATGCACCTGGACGGTCTCATCAACTTCAATTACATTAATTGATTGATTAATGTCCGATTCCACCAATGTTAGTTAAATCTTAATCTGAGTTTAAATTTTATTCAAACAAAGACTTAAAACTCAAGGTTTAATTGACGTTTAATGATATTAATAAAAACGGGTATAAATCTCAACTATGGTTGGTTAATTCATGATTAGGTCTGTTTAAAAACAAATGTGATTGAACAATTGCATTGAAACATTAAAATTTAATCGACTGATTAAAATAAATGAAATTGGTGAGACCAATCCTATGACTCTTAATTCTATCGTACATATCGCAGTTGCTATAAGAAAACCTTCATGTAAATATTTTTGTGAATTCGAGATATATTTAAAATTTAATTCTGCATATAGTAACATAAATATCTTGGATTCATAAAAAATGCACATGAGAAGTTTTTACACAGTAATCACAATATAAAGAATTTATTTAAATGAATCGTTGCAGCAACGAGTAAATTTTATTTGGCGACTGTAATACTCGAATCTTTTTCAAATTTCCATCAAAAAACTATACTTGAATATTTTTGTAAAAATCGACTGTAGTCCAGTTTTTACAGTTTAAAACTTATTACATTTATTGTACATCCGCACTAATATTTGGTCTGTTCTTTGTAGCTGCACTGTTGAACTGATGCAATAAGTT